AGACATTCAAAGAGTGTCCTGTCTCTAACTCCTATCTTGCCACCAGATGCTAGGATTAAAAATGATATGCTACTGCCTTTGGCTTTTCAGCAGGTTGTCAGGTTGCACAGTAAGACCTACACCCAATGAGCTAGCTCTTCATCCTACAAAGCATAGTTCCTGGGAGAACATTTGTCTTTGTATAGAGGATCTGCATGTGACTATTGTCTTTCTTTTTTACTTCTTTTCAGCCTTCCCTTCTTTGTTACTCCTTTGCATGATAAAGCATCATGAATTAACACCTAGCCCTTAAATTCAGTCATCTTTCCACTGTGTCCAATCAGTACTGCTTGCTATGAAGATCCCTGTTGAACCTGCTATTAAACTCTCACAAGTCTCCAAATTCTGTCAAGACAAGTAGTAACCCCCCTCCCAACACTGTTATAAAGCCTCACTGATTTTAAAGAGACTTGTTCTCCATTCCGAAAATAATAGAGAAATGTGTACATCATCCTTGGAGTATTTTCATGTGTAGTTCTCAATTAATGGTAGGCTTTTCTCAACTCAAACACATTTCTACAGCTATCAAATTTTACACGAGTATTTTAGAGAGTTCTCTAAAACTCAGCCTTCCTGGCGCAGCAGCTCACTCAGGATGCCATTGCAAGAGTGGCGACTGCCAACACCTCTAGTTATAAAGAAAGCAGTTATTCTGTGGTGCTGCCAGGCAGGCATTTACAGGCTCTGCTCACACATGTGGCATGTACTTTAAAACTCTGCATACTGGGAAGACTTCCTGGAGCCAGCATTTCAACTCAGGACTCATCCAGTTAAATGGAAGCTAACAAGACGCATGAAATGGTATATTCCATATAGGAGTTGTGATGGAGGACCATTTTCACACTAATCCTATCCTAAAAAATCCCACAATGTTGTTAAATCATCCCAAATCGTTGATCCCATTCACAAGAACACTAACCCTTTCATCAAAGATTGCATTCTGATTCACCGGTAGTGCTAAGAACAGAAACTTGATGCAATGTGTCTGAACCTGACTTAAAGATTTTCATAACTCCAGAAGCAAAACAAAAACAGGCTAAAATCTCTTGACTGTAATAAAGTCTGCTCTGGGTCAGAACCCTGGATGCTAGTGATAGGTGGCAAAGATAAAGGAGAATTATTAATCCCATGATAGCATTTACCAAACTTCCTAAAGCGTAATACTTTTAAAAAAGGAAATTGAATATTAAGGAATAAAACAAATAGTTGATTTTACTTACACACACACACACACACACACACACACACACATACACACTAAATTTCTTAAAAGTCATTAAGAATTTTAAGAAAATTATTAAGTATACTCAACTTAAAACTTTATTAAAATAGCATGCAATATAATTCAACATAAAAGAAATCTTATTTGGGGAAACATGAATGCCTATATAGTCTCCAGGGATTAGAAAATAACTTTTCAAGACTAATTTTATGAAATTTTACATTTATCAGCCCAAATAAGGGAAAATATTTTTTTCTATAAAAGACCAATGCATCTCTATAGGCATTGCTGTCTGTAACCTATCTCCAACTCAGATGATTCTCTTTCCCTACCATACCTGTCACTCTCCTCTCTCCTTTCATTTAATTATTTTGCTCTGACCTCATGACACAAAAAGGAAAATTTAATTTCAATTGTTTTACATTGGGTCATTAGCCATAGCCTATAACTGCTGAGACAACTCTTCAGCCTGATAATTTAACCTGACAGTCTGATGATGAAGTTTAATTATCAGCGTCTAAGACTCAGCTAAATTCTATAATGATACTGAGTTATATAATAATCAAAGTTTGAGCCCATATGACCAAATTGGAGGTTCTGTGGGCTACAGTGTCCTTCATAATACTCATACTGGGTACACTTACATAATTACATAATATCGTATTTGAATACCAATGACCTGTCACATTAATTTTCTCTATGGAAACATTCTTGATAACAGACATATTCATTGAATTCCCCTGAAGGTCTCAAGATAACAGAGTATAAGGGAAGCCATGATAAAAGCTTTCTTTATTGTCACCATAATTGGTGTGCCATACTCATTCATGACAATGGAAACATTCTCCTGTACTTAAAAAATTGGCAACATCCAAAGAACTTGAGTTCCTCCACTTACATACAGAATTAGCTATGCATAAGACAATGATTAAATGATTTTCTCAAAAGCCATTTCAGAAAAGGTTAATTGGTTCTCTGATGATTGATTCATGTACACAAAGAAATCTTTTTCAAAGAAATGTCATTCCATATCAGTGTACTACTTATTCCAGCTCCATGAAAGTTGAAATATTTGTTCAAAAATTACAGTGTACTCTGACTGGACAACATAAGTAATGGTCAGTGGTTAAGTCAGTGACCATCTTTCCAGAACAATGCTGTGGGCAGAGGCCTTGCCGCAACATGCACTTTCCGACTTGGACAGAGTTCTCAAGACACTCCTGAGGCTTTGCAAGCAATCATTAGGGAAGCCTCCACTAAAATTAAAAGCATATGCCCAAACACAGTTTTTGAAATGACACACGTGTTTAAATACACACATAAAAAGTCTTTGACTTATGTGGGAAGAAAAGCCAAAGCATCCTTGCAGAATGCTTCTTGCTGTCTATTTAAATAAACACTGCAGAACAGTTTTAAAAGACTTGAAAATTCCACCCATAAAATTTATATTTATTATGTAGATTTTCACAAGAAAGCCATCCCAGGATGACATCAACTTTCACCTTGTGAACAGGCTTCAAAAGAAGCAATTGTCTAACTACAGACGGCAATCATCTAATTAACAGACAACAAGAGCAGTGGGACTCTAAAATGTCACTGTCTTTCAAGACACATAGGTTGTTTTCATGAAAACTCCACCTTTGAATATTTTGTTGTTTTAAAGAGAACTTTTTGTATTAATTTAGAAATCATGTAATGGAACATATGTATATGTAAATGAAGACTGTCTTCTGGGAGCATGCATGAATTCATTTTATTACCTGGGTGACAGTGGACATACACTTTAAATTCAAATATTTACTAGGTTGGCAAAAGCCTGTGATATGCCTATGGAGAAATGATAGGTTAAGAAGAGATCAAAGCATAAGAACGGTGTGTCCTAGAGAATGCAATATGGAAACTTGTATTAATCATTAGATAGAAAGTCTTGGAAGAGTAAATTGAGTTTGCACCACAATATTAGAAATGCTCATTCATCTACTGGTTTGCCTAAGATTAATGACACACACTTAAAATTTGTTTGCTCATGATACATAATTAAAGGTGGTCAAAGAATATATGAGAATAAGAGGACATGAGAAGAACCTCCAGGAATACCAATATACAAGAAGAATGAAGACTAGAATTGCATTCCCTGTGGATGAAGCAACAGGCAAGGAGAAATTCTGAAATTCAAGAGCAGGGAGGTATTTTAGTGGTCATAGCATGAGAACACTCAAGAAGTCTGCAGTGAAATAGCACTGGCAGTAGGGTGAATACTCACTAGTGCTTTGTGTGTGGGAAGAAGCTTCCAAAGCCAAAAGTGGTGTGGGATAAAATAAAAGGATCTAGGGACTGAGATTATAATTGACAGCACTGGCCCTAGAGATGGCAGGATAGATGAGCGATAAGGAATGATTAGATTAGGAAGGAAGGATTTTCTGCGTCAGAAGCCTCGGAAGCAAAGCAGTACCAGCAATCACCCAGATTCTTCTAGGCATGCCAAAGAACACATTTTAGAAGATTCTGTGTCTCTAGGATTTCAAACAAAAATTATGTGTGAATGGAAGATTCAGATCCAGGATTTTAGTTATAAGAAGGGATAAAATAAGAACTTCATAAGAAAAGCAGGCTGAAAATTTTATTTAGCCAAGAAAAATTTACCAAATTTTTTTGAAGTTGGTTGAAATCTGAGCACGACTCCTTCAATTCAGACTGCATGTTCCACAACTGCCACATTTTACAATGACTCTCACAGGCATGTTTATATCTCTTTCCTTAATTAGAAGACACATTGCGTACTTCATGGAGTTATTTTTACGCTCCAGAAAAACAACTGATGAGATCTGTATTGCTGCCTCCAGGGCAGTAAGTGTGTCAGATCCTGCTGCTTGGACAATATGGAGGAACCTTGGAAACTTAGTGTAAATGGAATCAGGCAGGCATGGAATCTTCAATCTTCTCTGCCCATCAGGCAAAGGCTCCTTTCTCCCTTCTAGTACTTTGCAAACATAGTGTGCATTAGAAACAGCAGAAGGGCTTGCTAAAGCACAGACGGCTGGGTTTCATATCTGCCATTCTTGGCAGAGGGCCTACAGATGTACTTCTAACAAGGTCTGAGTGATACTGATCTTGCTAGTCTGAGGACCACACTGTGAGAACTAATGCTATAAAACACTTACAACTCATCGTCCCCAGTAAGGAAAGTTTTTGCAAATAAGACTATTTTTGTTGAATTTCTCATAAAAGAAATTGAAAATTTGGGATGCTGGCTCTATTAAGACAGCAGCCATAATATTTTCCAAATGTCTAAAATATTTTCCAAATATCTGTCTATATTTCAAGGCAGCTTACCAAGGTTACCGAGAATGTCTTGTCTATCATTATCACTCTGTAAAATGACTCCAAGTCTTGATTAAGAAGTCACAGATTCTGCTCCATTCAGAAGAATACTACTCATATTTAAAACTTCATTCTGGCCCCTAATTTATGTTTTTATATTTATTTTTCATGTTAATATGGTTGAGGAACTATTTGGATGCTTTGAATATATGAACTCCAGTTATTCTTCACAGCCTCATAAGTAATTTATTTTATTAACTCCATTTATAGTTGTAGAAAATGAGGTAGGGGGAGACCATGTCCCACACTAAAGGTCAAACAAAAGGCTTTAATATCCTTTTCGTTTCAATTCTAGGCTTACTTTTTACCTAAATGACTGCACACTTCGTTACAGTACAACATGAGCTTAAAGACCCACCTGTCCCCAGAAACAGAACATGGTATCTTCCATCAGCAGCATTCACACGGTCCACAGCTATCGTTGTGTACTTGTAATCGGTGCCTATGCGGACGATCAGAGGCCTTCTGTGGATGGGGTAGATGGAATTGTACATCAGAGGATGGTTTCGAATAAAAGTGACAACATCATCTGGGAAGTCCTTGGTGGTTCTCATATTGGGTGTAAAGGCCCCTCCTGGGCACTGAAAAATAATAATAAAGAAAAGAAATTGATAAAAAGTATTACTTTATCTTAATGATAATCATTTCCAAAACACTTAAAAATACTTGTTTTAAGTACATAGAAGATCTGCTGAGAAGAACATGAAGGTCTGGCTTTAGAGATAAAAAAATTACTATCTGTAGAAAGTTTCTATATAGCATATATTTCTTTAGATAATTGAACGTGTTTTGTCTCCTTGTCCCAGAGCATTTGCACAGAGGTGATGCACCTTTGAATATCTTCTAGGTTTTTACTCCTTTCAGCAGTCATTGCTCTACTTCCTATTTTGTACCAGGAAGTTTATTGCTGGCAAGGACACCTGTGGATACAAACTAGTGCTGTGCTCACATTAAAAATAACTTAGATTGCCATTGTCACACTTAATTGGAATTCTGATGTAAAAGAGTCTCTTTCCAGATGATCTCCCTTCCCTAGAGGGATCTTGAGGTTGGAGCTTAGCTCAGTGTTGACGATGAGATCTGATAACTTATTCTAGAATTGAGTTTCACCATGCCCATTGGCTTTAGAGCAAAACACCAACAGTTTAGAGGAGCCTGCCAGCTCCTCTCTACACTGAATCAAGGTGGCCACTGTGGCTAGTGTTATCCCAGAATGTCAGGCACAATTCTCTTTAGATCTACAGTTGTCTACCTCACAGCTTTTACTTCCTCCAGGGTGACCACATATATGAAACTAGCTCCTTTTCATCTCTCCTCTGTCTCCTTAGCTGGATTTTCCCCTCACAACCCCTTATGAAATTATTTTCATATAAATTTCTTTAATCATTCTTGCATGTTTGCTGTTTGGATTGTAAGCTGTGTTAGGTGGAATTAGATTTCTCAATTTTGCTTAGTATATTGGCATATACCAAAACTGGCAATAGTTGGTGTCTGATAAATGTACAGTACATTAGTTGATGTGGCCTCCAATTGTGGTATAAGGACCCAATGAAATGGGAGATTCCCTTCTGTCCAGAAGAGGAAGGATTAGAGCCTCAAGTTTTCAGGGGAAGGTAGGAAGTAGTGATGACATTAAACACATGGACAACTAGGAAGCTTCCACAGTTCTGGAAGGGAGCCTGACAATGGCTTCAGAGGAAGAAGATTCCATTGTTAGTTAGGACTAAATGTTCAGGTAACATGGAACTGCCGAGGCTTGAAGTTCAAACTCAGTAAACAATAGCATCCAAGTGTTAAGTCCTGTGAGCCCAATTGTCAAATACAATACATTAACATGTACAAAGGACATGTGCCTAAATGTGTTAAATACTTCATAAAATGTCTACTTTCAAAAACAATATAGAGCTGGGTTAAAACTAGGTTTTATATTTCTATAGAAATAAAATATTTCTGCTGTAGTTTTTATATAACATTTAAGGATATTCTACAAATTGCTGTTCTTACCATCTTGGTAACTATGATATGCTATAAAAACTGTGGCCCACTAGAAAGATATGACTCACTGAAAGCTGACAGTGACCCTTAAAACCAACTGTTTACTTCTATCAGGCATATAAGGTGAACACTGCTAGATTTTAAAAGAAGACAGAAATGGGGAGTTTTATGTGAAAACTGTCAAATCTTTACTGCTGATTTAGTTAAGAAAGAGGAACACTGGGAACTAAGCTAGATGTGCCATTCTCTGTATTGAACCTTTGCTATAACTAGCCAATGATTCCAGTGTCTTTGCGTCAGCATGGACAGGCAAATGTTCGCTCAAATCTATCATCAGAATTCATATACAAACCTATTATCATCAAGAAGTTTTATATCAACATCAACTTAACCAAAAACTTTTTATAGGATGGACACACACACACAAACACACACAGAGACAGACACATATACACAGAGACAAACCACACACAGAGACACATACACAGATATATACACTTGCAAGCACACACATACTCACACACACTTTCGGTTTTTAGAGAAAAACAATGGGAACAATGAAAAGACTGATGAACTAAATAATAAAAGTTAGACTGTCTCTGAATATTCCCATGATCTGGGAACATGATTTCATTATAGGAAGAAAGTTATATTTAAATATTCCTGTTTCTAAATTTCCTAAAATGAAGGCCAAATGTGGACAAAGAATTCAAGTTGTTCCAAGCTGACAGTGTGTTCCACGTTCCACATTTCTTCAAAGTATGGGTTCTGCTGTTTTCAGCCCTCATTCTTCACACAAAGTGGAAAAAGGGCAATATGATGCCCACTGAATGAAGATATGGAAAGAACAATGCAAGAGCAATTTCTGCAGCTCCAGACATGCAGAAGACACCACTAATTATGGCTTGCTGTGTTGAGCCACCTTCCTAAGCATTTGTAGGGACTCTTGTTGGTACACTGTAAAAACTCCACAGTTAACTCACATGGTTGGGAAATTTGTATAATTTCTCCAGTTGCTAGTTTGATTTGTGATTTCCTTTAATAATTCTTTTTTTTCTTTGAGATTTTTACTCTAATTACATATTTTATGCTTTGCCCTCTCCTCCCTCCATGCTCTCCCCTATATCCCTTCCAGCTTTTTTTCAAGTTCTTGTCTTCATTTTCACTAATTGTTTTACATATGTATGTGATGACCTTATTAAACTATCAGTATTCTACTTAGAACATTTACTTAAAAATAAAGAAGATCTTAAGGAAAGCTTTGTTAAGGTTGTTCAAAATCATGGTGGTTAAATAGGTAACACAAACCAATGATTTTCAAAACCTTTATTTTTATTATTACTTGCGTTCTTGTTGTTGATATTGGTGGTGGTGGTGGTGGTGGTGTGTGTGTGTGTGTGTGTGTGTGTGTGTTGTAAGAACAATATTGCAGAGTCAGTTCTCTGTTTTTACTTTTACATAGGTGCCAGAAAGAAAATTCAGATGCTAAAGTTTGCATGACAATTTCTTTTACCTGCTTAGCCATCTTGTCAGCCCCAAATCAGGGATATTTACATTTTTACAATCAGTGACTCATCTTCTCATACTTTTGCTATGGATTCACAATGTACTCCTCCCTTAGAAATAAGACTCTCCTAGTATGACATCATTATCAAATTTAGAAAATAAGCAATTCTGATATTGAATCATTCTCTTGATTTATGCCATAAGATTAGCAGTCAAGGCAAATTGAGTTGTAGAACTAGTGAAAAAGATAAAAAGTTGACTTTCTCCTCTCAAACTCTATCTGCACTGGTGCATTTCCTCAGGGCAATACTGCCAAGTTTTTAGTATATTTATCTTCTTCTGGTACAGGTAGGAATGCACATTGAGACCTTGAGATAATATAAGTTATATTTTCTTCAAGAAATTTCAGCAGTTCAATTGCACACTGGAGTCTTTTTCAGAGTTGCTTGTTGCTCAGGATAATAGATAAGGACCCAGTTTTACCTATCTTATTGGAACTAAGGATCTGTAAATGAAATTGGACTCATTACTGTACTATATATCTACACAACTGCCTGTGGCTGGAGGGATCATAGACTCTTGGGGAGAACCTCCTACTTTGATAGTCTCCTAGAGCAATAGAATTTCTAATGGTATTAAAAATCTGTATCATTATATCTACAAATAAGTATAGTTATAATCCCTCATCAATGAAGGTTTTTTTCTTTTGGGAAGATGAATCCTATTACAGAGACTCATAATTGGTAAAAATTAAAGAATAGGTGTCTGCAGGGTGCCCAATCCCAGCTAGTGCATCTACAATATAACCCTACACCTAAGAGCCCCAAATAGGAAGGGGTAATAGATTTATAATAGTAAAAGGATGAAGATACCTGTTTCTAATTTTAAAGTCTTTAAGTATTTGTTTTCCCAGTTATTCTATCCTGTTTTGAAGCAGAGGTAAATGTTTCTGAGACATTTTGACTATGATGAAATTCCAACAGAAAAGCTGAAAACAATGACTGTCATGTAAATAAGAGCATTAACAGTTGCATCCCTAACTCCTGGGTTGCACTCAGGTGATCATAGTACCACTGCCTCTAATCCTCCCATGTCCTGCTCCTCAGATCTGTGATGGAAGTGTATCAGTTCTAATACAGCTATAGATTAATGTGTATGTGTACATTCTTTGAATATTTATTTTTCTATATGCCATTTCATGAGTCATGTAGTGAACATTAGAACAAAAAATTATGGCTTTCTAGATACAAGCACACTAATAAAGAAGAAAAGCATCTTTTTGACAACAATGTAATGACTGGAATCATACATAAGATATAAATGACAGAATGAGATTCAGGACCAATTGTCATAAGCATGAATGAGTCAGTATTTTTAAAATCAACTTATAGGGTCACTGAGGGCTCAGTAGGTTTACTGCCAGACTTGAGAACCTGAGTTCCATTCCCAAGACCTATATGGTAGAACCTGAAAATTGACCCCTACCTACATAGTTACCTACATAACTACCTACCTACCTACTTACCTGCACACACACACACACACACACACACATACATCCCTCACTAAAATAAACACGCAAGTAACATTATAGGACTGAACAGGTAATATTTATGAGTACACACACATACATAACATACATACACACACACATAACACTTATAAATAGATGCATGAAACAACAAAGAGGCCATGAATTTGAAAGAGAGTACGGAGTTGGGGTATATAGGAAGCCTTGGAGGGAGTAAAGGAAAGGAAGAAATGTAATTAAATTATAATCTCAAAAATAAGAAAAGAAAACAAATTTAGGATTGTGGGTAAACATGACTGCAGTGATCAGTGAAGAAACTTGTAGAACAGCAAACAGGCTGTGCTCCTTAGGGAACTGTCCTTGGGATACTGGTGATATGATTCTGGAACACTTCTAAATGGGAGTTTAAACTGAACACATTACTAGTTTCTGCTTCAGATGAATGTGCGTGTTATACAAAGGGTCTACAGAAGCTTTACCCTCACAGCAGCAGGATAATGTAAAGCATTAGCTCTGTCACAGAGAGTCTGAAGTCTCCGGATGCCCTTTGCAACATACCAAAGGTGTCTTGTTTCTCCCACAAACTTGAGATACTTATGGAAAAACATTATGACACAATTGGCAGCCTTCCCAGCACTTAACTTGTGCTTGCTGGTTGGGCTGTTTGCTAGCACAGCTACACACCCTGCTTTGAAGGAAGTACCTACAGGGAACACGAGAATGGGGGTATAAGATTTCTGCCAGTGTCCTTTACTTAAAAACAAAGTTAGATATTTATGAGGTTGACCCAGCAACCTGACTACTGTGTGCAGAACTGAAGAATGACAATCACAGTTGATCCCTCATTGGGAAGACTTCAGAGACAGGGACAGCATTCTTGACCCTAGAGGAAATGGACTCTTCGAGTTCACTTGGCTAAAGATCTTCTGGCTATAGAAGCAGGAAGCAGTGAACTGAGGCCGCCACTGGCAACTGAGTTAGAAAGCTGACTTCATGTTGTTTTGCTGGGCTCAGGGTGGACTGACCAGATCTTCAGGGAAGCATACTTGTTTAGGAGGAGTTTTGGGGTCATTCCTCCACCCTGCCCTTTTGATTCCCGAAGGACTACTCATCTGACAATTTCTGGATTTAAAGGAGCTGTTGTGGTCTCAATACCAGATGTAAGAAACCACATTATAGAAACATTTCTTAAGTAGTGACTACTCCCTTTTTGCACAGAGTCTGTTCCAGATGTGTGTCACTAATCCCTGGCTTATTCCACACTGTTTTAGAAAGAAGGAAAATGCTTATTCTTAAGAGCTTTTTTTTTAAAAAAATGAGACTGTTAGCAGAATTTTCTAATTTTGCCTTGGTTTATTTGTGGAGAAGGGTTGATCTCTTCCCACAGTGTACACGATCATTGCTTTTTGACAGTGGTTTTCTGTGTGATGCTCAAAGCCCAGTACACATGTCAAAGTGGCTTTTAAGGTGCCACATGGGTAAAGAGCCATAGTGGGAACTGAGGCTGATTTCAGAGGAATGATTATCTCCCACCATGGCTGATTTCAAGTTACTTCTGGGATGTCTTCAGTTGAGAAAAGGAACAAACGATATACAAAATTGGTTCTAAGGAGAGAGGAAGGAACAAGTCAGCCTCAGAACATGCTTCATGAGATGCTGAGGCCTCAGTTTAATAAATGTATCTCCTTTTCAATTTTTTAAATGCTTTATGGGGGTTTCGTTTAAGTAACAGGAGGGGGTGCATAGAGTTTTACTGAGTTTGCAAGTTCGTTGCTCCTGTACTATCTGTTCACATATTATAGAAACTAAACCAGATTATAATCACCTCTTACTTTCCTGTATTAAAGTATAAACTTAGTTAGATCACACTCTAATCATCTTATGATTATAAGTCGCCCTTACATAAGTTAATAGTGAGGCTTCTGGAAATATAGAAGTAATCTAAATGAAATGAAGAGGAACTTTTACTCCATGAAATGTTGTTCAACCTTTCCTCCCTTCTCTCACCCTAGGTCAGCTTTGCTTCAGCTCGACTGTCAGACATGCAGCACCCTGCGATGACTGTATCTACTGATAGTTTATTTTCAGTTTAGGAGCAGTTAGTCAGTGTTCTGAGCAGGTTATTTTGAGCCATAAGCATCCAGGAGACACCATTTTCAAAGGGAATTACAATTTCTATAATTAACCTAGTTGGTAGACATGATAATTATAATATTTTAACTACAGTATTTTTAGGGATTAATAGCAATTCTAATAATTTTCAAAAGTAATCAATAGTTATTTCTCTCTCTCTCTCTGTTTCTCTCTCTGTCTCTCTCTCTCTCTCTCTCTCACACACACACACACACACACACACACACACACAAATCAATGTTCAGTCTTTTATTTTTATTTATTTTTCATTTTTTTAATTTTCAGGAGATAGAGTCTCTTTAAGTTTAGTGGATGATTTAAAAACTTCACAGGATAACTTAAAACATTCAGAAATCAAAGGACTGGACAGTATAAAAATGTCTTCTTGTGGTGTAAAAATAAAGTGAACGTTAGAAAGCTTGGTGAAATGCATATCTTAAATATGACTTTTAAGACTTTTATTCAGAACATTCATATGCACCGGGCAGAGTGGGGGGAAGGATTGTAGGAGCCAGACAGGTCAAAGATACCATGAGAACAAGGCCGCATACTCAACTAAGCAGGGCTCATAGCAGCTCACAGCGAATGAAGCCGCAGTCATGGAGCCTGAGTAGGTCTGACTAGACCCTCTGCATATGTGCTGTGGTTGTTTAGCTTGATTACTTTGTGGGACTCCTAACAGTGGAAGTGCGGATTTCTCTAACTTCTCTTAGGACCCTTTTCCTCCTACTAGATTGACTCATCCAGCCTTGATATGAGAGTCTGTTCTAGTCTTATTGTTGCTTTGTTAAGTTGACATCCTTAGAGGCCGACTCTTTCCTGAAGGGAAAGGGAAGCAACAATGGATCTGGGGGAGACTTGAGGTGGGGATAGATTTGGAGGAGGGGAGGGGAGCAAAACTGTGGTTCAGATGTGTTACATAAGAGAAGAATAAATAAAAGGGAGGAAATATTTGTGTCTGTGCTCATCAGAGAGAACAGCTCATAGATTTTAATTAATTTAGTTATGTTTTTATATGACTTTACCTTCAAGAGAATACTACTTCAGTGAAAATGTTTTGGTAGTGTTCCTTCCTTTTTTGAAATTTTAGGAGCAGCTTGATCAGTAATCTTGTCAGCTCTTCCATAAAAGTTTTGTAGAACGGAGCAGTGAACACATCTGGTCCTCCTCTTAGGGAGGGTTTTTTATTGCTACTTCAGTCTCCTTGTGTGTTGTTACTTGTTAAAGTTGTTTGTGTCTTCTTGACTTAACTCTGGCAGGTCATATGTGTTTAATAATTGACCAAGTTCCTCTAGACTATCAAGATTTCTGGGATATAACAGTATTCCCTAACAACTATGTGTATTTCCGTGGAGTACTGTCTCATTTTATTATTTTGAGTCTTCCTTTTCTTCTTGTTAGTTTAGCTTGGGGTCAGTAAATCTCATGAATCTATTGACTATGTTGTACTTAATTGATGGCATGTACATGTTCTTTACATGTAGATTTCATTAATATCTGCCATGAAGCTAGATGGTAATGGCTCACATTTTAATCCTGACACTTGGAAGGCCAGCCTGGTATACAGAGTGAGTTCCAGGGTAGCCAGGGTTAAAAAGAGAAACCTTGTCTCAAACAAACAAACAAACAAAGAAACAAACCAACAAAGCTGCCACCAACTTTCTTATAATTGCTGCCTCCTCCTTTTGAACTTGTGTTGGCCTTAACTTTTCTAAGACATTTAAGCACAGAGTAGGTTATTTGAGATATTTGATAGTTTCTTAAATTTATTCATTTAATAAAGTCACTCAGTCTTTTGCCTGCATGCATGTATGTGTACACCACATGTGTGCTTGATCCCTGAGAAGCCCAGAATAGGGCATTGAGGCCCTGGAAGTGGACATATGGATGGTTGTGAATCTCCATATAGGTACAGAGAAGAAACCTGTGTCCTTTGCAAGAGCAATAAATGCTCTAACTGCTGAGCCTTACTTCCAGCTCATTTTACAATTGTATTTATTAATTGTATCTTATGTGTGAGTATTTCACCTATATGAATGTATGTGCATCGTGTGTATGCTTGGTATACACAAAGGTCAAAAGAGGGCATTAGATTCACTGCTACTGGAGTGGTAGGTGATTGTGTACCACCACACAGGTGCTGGGAATTGAACTTGGGCTCTCTGCAAGAGCAAGAAGTGATCTCAACAACTAAGCTATCTTTCCAATTCCATTTTAAGTTTTTAATGCAAATATACCCAGTCATAAATTTCCAGTTTAGAACTCACTTAATCTTATCTCCAATGGTTTTGGAAAGTTGTGCCTTTTCATTTGACAATGATTAAAAAATTCCTCATTCGTTTTTTTTTTTCAATTAACTATTGTTCATTCAAGCAGACACAGAAGTTAAAAAAACACACACACAATTAAATTGAGTTATCTCTAAGTTAATAATTCATGTGCTCATCATTATATAGGATGAAAATTTTAATACAGAAGTGTAAATACACACACACACACACACACCTACACACACAGCTAGCAGGCTTAGCATGGTGGCACATGCCTTTAATTACATATCTTGGGAAGCAGAGAAAGGTGAATCTCTGTGAGTTCAAGACCAGCCTGGTCTATGTAGTGATTATTTATCCTGGCCAAGGCTTTACAGTGAAACACTGTCAATGAAAGAAATGAAAAGTGTGTGTGTGTGTGTGTGTGTGTGTGTGTGTGTGTATGCACGTGCTAGTGTTAACTTATTTAGTCTTCAACTAAAATTTTCAAAGTTAAGAGTTTTAAAATTAGAAAAAAATATCTATCATATTTAACTATGTTGTTTTGGGACCTTACTAGATTTTGTTGGTAATTATAGTGCATATAAAATAGTACATTTTATAACATATATGCCATATTAGCAAAATCTCAAACCACAGAAGGATTAAGCTGAAACCATAAAGCTGAAAAATAATAATGAGCATATACAGAGGACCACAGTTATATTTAATAAATGTAAATCAGTATTTGTCTAAGTATGATGAGAGCACATTTATGGGTACTTACAGTTCCAGGGCGAGGATACGGAATTCTACCTTGATAGGATATCAGCTGGTGATTGGGCCCTTCCTTGTGGGCAAAAGGCCCATTGAATACAGTCTGTATATCAGATAAATGATACACACACACTGCCGATCCTTTAAAAACAGAGCTGAAAATGGAAACAAAGAATCTCTTTTATTTTTCTTAAAACATATTTCAGTTGCTTCAGTGAGATGGATCCGTGGGTAAACACACCGGTCACCAAGCCTTACAACCTGCCTTGGATTCTGCTAATACAATGTGAAAGCGGAAAGCCATCCTCCACATATTGTCCTCTGACTCTTCATGTGTGCCTTGGCATGTATGTATGAATATATATCTATATCTATATCTATATCTATATCTATATCTATATCTATATCTATCTATATATATATATCACAAAATAAAGAAGCCTGTCATAAAAATATATACTACACATAAGTATGTTTAAATGAAAAGCTAAAAGCTACAAACTTTTGGATACTTAAAATAGTTAATAATATCCAGTTATTTTGAAATAAGGCACAGATTACAAGCCATTGCCTTATTTAATTAATTAAATCTGGAATAAACAATAATAAGTTAAAGCAAAGTTCTTAACATTTCCAAAAATTAGAATGATAAAATTCCTAATTAGTTTATTTTAGCAGCAACAAATATTCAGTGATGATTGAATTTAAAAATGCGGATTTGAGTGCTCTGGCCAGGGCAGCAGAGCAGCGTCCTCCCCAGCCAGCAACAGAGAAGTTTCCTCCTGCAACAGGTGGGAACCAACAGGAGACCCACAGCCAGATATCACACAGGGTGCAAGACCTTGTAACACTCTGCCCTGATAGGGATGTGTCAATCAAACCCCTTCCCCACAGGGCTCTGTGAACTCAGTGGAAGGTGAAAGAGGAGGTCTAGTGTAAGAGCCAGAAGGAAAGGAGGACATCAAGAAAGCCCTCTAAATCAACATTCTCAGAGCACATATGAACCCACAGAGACCGGGGTACGAGTCTGCACTAGAGAAGGACCAACACCTAAGAGAAGTAGAGGCAGAACCTATCTTTAGCCCAGAAGCAAACTCCAGTTGATAATCACTTGCAAATGCAAATTTAGATTTCTCTCAGGGAGTCTGACTGGGGTAACAAACTATTCTCAAGGGTAGGCTGCATGCCAAGCAGTAGACAATGGCCAACAGGAAACAGATTCAAGGCCATTTTTGAAGGCTCTAGTCTCATAATTGTCTTGTCAGGACTTTTCTATTTTAAAAATAAAAAACTAATTTATTATTTTTTATTTTAATTTTAATTTACTTATATATTTTCTTATCTCTATTTACCCTACAATTCCTTTGTGTATATAGCATAGCTTTCCAATTTAATGTTTTTTATAGGATTCCTAAGTGTGCAAATGAGTGAATTTGTATCTTATGTCTCCCCTGGGCTATTTCCTTCTGTCTATTCTGTCCAGTTCTTATGCATTAGTTTTGGGTTTATCTTATTATATTAAATTGTATTATTATCATCTCTTAGAAGTTGGTTAGTTTTCTATTGAGAGACAGAAACAGGGTGGAACCAGATGCGAGAGATGTGGGGAGAACTGGTAGGAATTGAGGGAAAGAAACAATATTCAGAATATATTATGTGAGAAAAAATCTATTTTCAATAAAATAAAAAAACCCAAAATATCAATTTTAATTCTTAACAACCATGAACAGAAGGGGAGGGAGAGGGTGGGTGGATGGAGGAGTACTCTCATAGAGGGAAGGGGAGAGAGGGTGGATGGCATGGGGGGGGTTGTGGAGGGGTAACCAGGAAGGGGGAGATCATTTGAGATGTAAATGAATGAAATGATTAATAAAAAAGAATATTGATTTTATCCTATAATAAATCCTATTAATACATGAATATAATTTCTTCTTACAGTAGTATTAACATAACTTTGGTGTTCTTCTATGATAGCCTGGTTGGCAGCAGGAGAAGTCCACGTTGTCTCTGTATGTATATTTTAGATCAATTGATAAAGCACTGACTTTGCGAGCATGAGAGTCTGAGGTCAATCCCCAGTACTCACGGAAGAAAGGACAAAAACTATGATTAGAAAAGTGTCATAATAACCCCACTGATGGGGAGACAGAGGCACTGGGTTTCGCCTCACAAACGACTTAGACTACTAAGCATGTGTGAGCTGCAGGCTTCTGAAAGTCTCTGTGTGAAGAAGCAAGTTGGATGATGACTACTAAGGAAGAACATCTGAGATTTTCTTCTAGCTTACACACACACACACACACACACACACACAAACACATGCATGCATGCACACACGCATGTACACACACATGCACACGCACACACATATTTCATAAGTACCCCCAAATACACGAGATGCATGCACAGTTTGGTATGTGGGTACACCCATGCTTCACCAAAGAATTCAAGACCATTTCATTAAGGTATATTTAGTCACAAATTTCTTTAAATAGTTAGTAAGAATGATATCTGTTATCGTCAGGTCAGAATAACTGAAAATCAGTCTCTGACAAATATAAAAGTAGAAAATATTTTATTGAAATCAATATTTTATTGAAAATTTAGTAATTTTGCTGCTCAATTCTTTATGAGTAAATGTGATACTAGTCACTTGCTAGAACAGTAGCTGAGCACACTGTCAAGGACGTCTGTCTGGATTTCTTGCAGTGCAAACATAAGCAATTGTTCTTCAGTATTCCTGATAACTCTTTTATTTGAAAAGCAGTTTACAACTGCACCACCACACTTTGTGCTCCTTTTTAATCTACTTTGTGTGTAGTGTATGAGCGAGTGCACATGTGCATAGATATATGCCACTATGTACAGGCATGGGCAACTCTATTTGTGTATGAAAAAGTCACAGGGGGGAAACAGGTATCTTCTTTTATCACTGCCAGCCTTATTCCCTATTACAAAACCTCACAATGAACCTGAGACTTGCCATTTTGGTCAAACTAGTTAACCAGCAAGCTTCCCAGGACCCACTTCTGTCTCTACATCCCAAATAACCCCAGGGCTAAACATATGATGTCATAATTGGCATCTCCATAGGTGTTAGGGTTTTGTAGACAGCAAGATCTTTTTCTCATTGAGGAATTTCCCTAGGCTATTGACACTTTTAAAATTCACTTATAAAAGAATACTTTCAATAACTACTTTGAAGTTTTCCATTAAACAAAAAGGAACAAATGCATACAACTAGTGGCCTAATAGACATGTCTGGAGTATGAGGCAGAATTCATACTAATACCCTAGTACAAAATTAATCTACAGAAATGTACACAGGAAATTTTGGGTTTATGAGAAAGGCACTGTAAAGCATGATAAAGTTGTCATTGGACTCCTATTAAATCAATTTTGAAATGCAAAAATATTATCATACTACAGAATAATAGAACCAGTATAATTTTGTTAGGCTCTCATAATAAATGCTGTAGATTAGTGAAAAACTGAAAGTTATTTCGATGCAAATTCAAACTTTTTTAGTTTTCCTAATGAATATTTATCATAAAATTTTAAATAATTAAATATACATACTTTTATGTCTTGAATTTGTGTACTTTTGCTACAACTGCCAAAATTCAGGAAAGAAACACATTCATGATCACCAACACCTATGATTCTATAGGCTTTATTAGAATTATTAGTCTTTACTTTTGTTATTTAAATAAAATACGTGAAGCTATTTACATATACAACTTAATTCATAGTTTTATTTTTTCTAGAGAATAACATATAATTGTTTTTAAAGCTCTTTGCAAACATTTTTGGAAGTATTCATTAAGGTCAAATGTATTTTGGTAATCTGGCAGAAGTAAGAACCGGGAATTGTTTAACTGAAGAGCTATAAGTGTTTGATCATTACCTTGAAGTGGTGAAGATGCCATACACCAGTGTTGTCCTTGGATTGTCGGTTTCCAGCAGAAAGACATCCTCTATAGAAAGGAAAAGAATATTCTATTAAAGTGTCTGAAATTCTAATTGATTATTTTTGATGACCCCAAGTCACTATTTCAGCTATCAAAAGTAGTCCTCAGGAAGCAATTTGTGGAAATCAATAAAATATGGTATAATGTGATAATATATGCTTGGTAACCTAAATGAAATATTAGCCTGGCACTGGAGGCATTTATGTAGACTATATCTCTATGAAAATGATGTATAAACGCTAAGTGGAGAACTCCAAATGATAGATAATGTGGACTAGCATTTGAAAAACTTAGTTCTACAAGGTAGATGAGAAAGCATAGTGTCCATGGTAGGAATGGCACAGATGTTCTCCTGTGGCTTGTTTTCTCAATGTCCTTTACTGATGAAACACTAGTTTGAGTTTTAAAATAATTAAGCTGTCAATTTCCTTTCTACCTATGATTTAAAGGTGTAATGTTGAAGATAATCTTTTTCAAAAGGCCCTTCTTTCATAAGAAATAAAACTCTATTTAGGCTTATGATTAAAATTTTCAGGAATACCTTATCTATAACAATTCCTCTAACAACAAGACTTTAATGGATATTATAAATGCACATGTATTATAATAAATTAAAACATGAAATTTGACTCCTGAAGAACCAAATACTATTTGATAGAAAATGCCTTTTAAGGTGAACAGCAGTCTCCTTCTGGTTTATAACTCTTCGCATTTTGTAATAGATATTTATAGCTCAACTCATTCATATTAATCAAAATCTGAGAATGACTATATAATGCATTTCAATGGACAATATTTAAAAAGAGTTGTTTCTTAATGAAGCTTAATTACCACAGCATTATGATATATAACAAGTCACATTGAATATAGAATGCTACTCATAGCTATACTATTAATTCTTATTTGATCTGGAGATCATAAGCCTCTGTCATAGGAGAAATACTTAGTCTGAATCACCAAGAAGAACTAAGCTGGGAGCATAACTCTTGTAATTTATAATTGAACATTTTCCTTAAACTCTACTAAATATTATACTAAATGCAGTAGTTATATAGATATATATGCATGTACATCCTTATATAAACTGATTTAAATCGTATCAGAATTTAAGTGAGAATATTACATAATAATTTGATTTTAAAATATTTAAATTTAGATCCAAATATTACAAATACATATAAAATATTGATTTATTTATAAAGAAGTAAACATATCACCTGTATATAAATTACACAAGTCCTTCCACCCTATACTCAATCATGTCCTAGGATTCAACAGTATACTCAATGGTGAAAAAAATGACTAAAGTATTTGAAGACACCAGTGAGTGGTAAAACATTAAAGATGAAACACCTTTTACCCTGTAAATAACAAGGGAAGATGCATCCTCTCTGAGACTTCAGAAAGGCACTTGATCCTCCTAAAGTCCTGCTCAGAAACAAGGCTCACTCTTACATCCACGCACCTAGTTCATCAAAATGTGTCTCTGGGCCATCTTCATCCGTGACTGAGCACACAAGCCTTGCCTTTAGGAATGTGGTCCACTTGTTGACAAGACTACGTTGCCCACCAGTGTCATTCTGAAACCATTTTGTAAGCACAATTCAGATGATTGGAGAAACAATTGTGTGTTAAATTTTCAACTTAAACTCTAAATCATGATTTATTGTAATCTGAAGATTAGAAAAGACAAACACCATACAGAAAACCTAGGATCTATAATCTTTGATATGTGATGAATAAATAAATATTTGCCTCTGGCTGAGTCAAGTATTCATTCTCTTAAATACAAATGAAATGTACTGAATCTATTTAGCTGCTGAAGCTTACTGTGTCCAGAAGACTGGGTATAGCCCGTATTGAATTGCTCCAGATTGTTCTATTTTACCTCTGTTTGTTCAGTGTTTTTACATAATCCTTAGTATTTCTGAGTGGGTTATATATTATAGACATTTTCCTGGCCAACATAGAGAGCATTGAGTTTGCTCTTTCATACCGTCTACTGAGGACTTATATTTTCCTCTGTGTCCAATGGCCTTTTCATTTTGCTAGCTTTGCTATTTTGACCCAAATTATTGAGAAACAATTGTATTCTAGTCCACAGAATATTGTAGTATTTAAGAATAAGTAGAAACTGGACATTTCAATAAATATATCTGACAAATTATCAAAAATAAGCCAACAAAAATTTATAATAAGCCTAGAGAAAATTAAATCATGAATTATAGACAGTATTTTTAAATGTACTGCTAATATGCTGATGCTTTGCACTTTAAAATTAAAATCATATTTTCAAATTTTCAACTGGGATATTCAGCTCTACTATAATTATATTTTACTAAGATTCAAGTCTATTTCATTTATAAGAATTATTTTGTTTCCATTGGTAATATGCAATTTGTCACTTGTGTGAAAGTAACATAGTATGGAGTTGCAAAATTAGCCAAAACTAGTTAGATGTTTAAAACTATAATCAAAATATTTCCCTGAATATTCTTTCTATGGTTTACTCACTTATAACAGTAATTAATAAAAATACAAATAAATATCAGAAAGCATTTTACATTATTGAAATTCTTTCTTTAAATAGACATTCCAGGACACTCACAGGGCATATTCTTGCAATCATGGAATGAATCTGTCTTGTGCTCCTATTGTTGTCAGTCAATCTTTCTTTGAAGAAGAAATAGACTTTAGCATCATTTGGATCAGTGCCATCTGGGATCACATGTGCATCCACAAACATAGGTTCTGCAAAAGAGGTTCAAAGATGATGTTCTCATGATAAAACCCCACATACCATTCTTTGAGATAGACACAGACACATTTATTTCCCAACAGCAAATAATCCACTATACATAGACAAGATTGCAAAAACTAGTGTCAAACATGGAGAGTATCAAACATGGCAAACTATAGCTCTAGGTTGACAGATGTATGTTTTCTTCAAGGGGGTCTCACTGGAGAAGCAAACCACTCTGAAAGGCAGGCCCCATGCCTAGCAGTCGATAGCCAACACAAAATGAATTCAATGGGATATTTGAGGGGCTCTGTCCCCTAATGTTAGGTCAGGGAATTATTTTTTGTGTGTCAGTTTTACCTTATAGGTCTTTATGTATATATACTTCTTGTTTCATGTTTTTGTAGGATTCCTGTGTGTGTAAATGTGTTTGTGTCTACATGAGTTTGTTGTGCTTTTCTTTGGTTCTTTTTAATGATTGTTTGTTTTGTCTTATTTGAATTTATTTGTTCTTCTTTATCTTATAGTATTTTATTTTACTTCATTAATAAGACTTATGTTCCTCTTTGTCTTATTATAAGAGATACAAAGGGTGTGGATATCATCTGGAGAGACAAGATGGAGAGGAACTGGAGGAGTTGGAGGAAGGAAAACTGTAACCAGAATATGTTGTATGAAAAAAACTCTATTTTCAATTAAGCAAAACAGATGATATAACTTTAATCAGGAGGACAGGGAGGAGGAAGAGGAGGAGGAGGAGGAAGAGGAGGAAGAGGAGGAAGATGATGAGGAGGAGGAGAAGGAGGAGGAGGAGGAGGAGGAGGAGGAGGAGGAGGAGGAGGGAAGAGTATGTCATAGCAGCAATGAGAATGAGAAACCTAACACTGTTTTTCCTTAAGATACAGCAAATGAAATGAAGAGTAAACTTCCCAAGGGAAAATATGATCAGTGCAGACATAGAGGCTTTCCTTATTTCAGGAACAAAACAACTTTTTAGAATATTCTATTTCTAGAATCCTGGCAGAATAATTTGAAGAAGTAGAATGACAGTCAGTGCTTTCATATGTTGCATTATCAGTGAAAAAATGCTTAATTATGGTGATTCATGTTAAACCACATCATTAATTAAATAGGCAATTTTAAGTGAGCTTGCAGATTTCCTTGGGGTAGAATGGCAAGTGCTCAGTGGTTTCCTTCCCCTCTACATGACAGAGACTGATTGGAATCTTACAGGAAAATCAAATTATTCTCCTTTCAGGGTGTGAATTCTTTATGACCCCAAGAATTTGAAACAACTAAAACAAGTATTATCATAAAATCAGTATACCTTTGATTTCTACTTTATTTAGTCACTTTTTTTAAAGTAATATGTAACCCAAAGTGGACAGGGAATCCACAACAGGCTCAAAAATCCTGGACCTTTAGGGGTTCCCAGGGACAGAACCACCAACCAAAGACTGAGTCTAGTGTTCTCTACACCCTGTACATGTGTAGCAGATGTGCAGATTGGTCTTCATGGTTCCCCCAACCCTGGAGTGGGGGCTGACTCTGCTTCTGTGGCCTGCCTATGGATCCCGTTCCTCTAGCTGAGACATCTTGGCTGGCTTCTTGGGGAAAGGATGCAACTAGTCCTGCATTGACTCGATGTACTATTGTGGTGATGGTAAGATGAACACGATGACCGGGGATGGAACAGGACAGGGATGATGACTGGAAATGAACCAGGAACGTTTCCCCCCTCTCAGAAGAGAAGTAGAGGGGATAGCAGGGGTCAGGTTCTGTGTGAGGGAGTACTGGGAGTAGAGGAGGGGTGATGTTAGAATGTAAAGTGAATAAATAAATTAAAAATAAAAAGTAATAAGTAATTCTCTATTATTATAAATTCATAGATTCTTATTGTAAACAAACAAAAAGAGCTTCTTTATATGACCCATTTATTATATCTTAAGTCATGAATTTAGAAAAAATCTTTGATTTAGAATTATGGATGAATAAAAGCAACTAAGAGTGCTAAAAACACATTTAAATGGGACATATTACCATTTAACAATGGAAGTATTCATGATGGCTACCACAGACATTTGTACTTACATAGCTCTATGACTATTGAATCATTGGTAAATCAATCAATTGGAATAAGAATGATGGCTATTTATTTATCTTAAATATTTGTCACATTGAGTACAGAAGAATAACTACTTATGAAAAAACCTGATATTTTAGTTTTGAACTACTTTTCCTACTATCAGCATAGAATTAAATACTAGGTTAAAGCAAGATATGAAAGAGGAAAATGCAGTAAATGTTTCTTTACCACTCAGCCATTTTGAATTGTGTTGATCAGTCCGGACGGCATTCCTCTTAGTTAAACTTCGAAAAATAGCGGCATCTGTTCCCATGAAATCTATATACATTCCTGAGAAGAGTTCCTCATCTATGAAAAAGGAAAATTTGTCAGAGAAATTCTAATGCATTTTGAACTCAATGTAATGTTCAAGGAGTTTTACATAATACATTGTCCCAATTATTAGTAGCTGTTTGTAGCTATCAATTACTTTCTGTTGCGTATGATTTACAAAACACCAAGCTTAATATGCTCATATTGTCATGATTCTATATGGTTAGAACAAATCCAAAAACTACTTGTTCTAATTTTTTAAGTAAGGAACAAATTTGGATGTTGGGCTATGACATTCAACACACTGAATTTTAACATTTTTATTTATAAATTATCAGGAATGAGCTACAATTGTAATAGTCCTTAACACATGTTAAACTTTAGATTTTACCTAAAAGACAGACTTTACTTTTATTTACTTTTTACTTACTTTTTATTTTATTTTTATTTTATTTTACTTTGTTTTATTTTTATTTATTTATTTTTATTTTATTTTATTTTATTTTATTTTATTTACTTTTATTACCTGATGACACAGAAAGTACATAATATTCTAAAAAACAATATTGAGGAGCAAACTAATCAGTTAAATTCTGTATTTTGATCTTCAGCAGTACAAGGCTACTAGTAACATAAACACAGCTCACTTTCTCAGCAATACACTGTTGTAAAACATAAAGTGATAAAGAAACTCTGCCTAGATATAGACAATTGCCATAAGTGGCCTATTGAATTAGTTTAACATATATATGTATATATATATATGTATGTGTGTATTAGTTTAACATATACATATATATGTTTGTGTCTATACATATGTATATTAATGTATATGATATATTTGCCATTAGAATAAATATATATACACATGCAAATATACATATACATCATTAGAAACTTTGAAGATTAAGTTAAATTTTTATCCTAAGTATGGAACTGTAAATATTGACTTGGTAAGAAGCAATGTAGCCCTCTAGTACTAAACAGCTGGACAACTATTGGAGAAAGTGTCTAGTCTTCATCGCTGGCCCATTGATCTGACCTGCATCTGTGCTCTTCTCTAGATTGTTCTCAGGACTGGGACATTTGAATCACTCTCAGTAAATACCTGTTGGACAAGACAGACTACAGAACAAAATGTTTCTAAAATGAGCTCATCAGGTTTTGAACTAGAGTCCCTATCAGTTAAGGATCTAGAATGATAGACATCTTGGCATCCATGTCTTTTTCCCAGGAGGAACAAAAAGCCCATGGCAATGTTTTAGAGAGTGACAACAAAGGTAAGAATGAGGCATTTTTGAATAGTTCAGCTGTTTAAAAATATGTTTGAATATCTGTTGTGTATATAGATTTGGCTATTAAATCATTATAACGCATAACCATTTCCCATTTTGTTTCAGCTCATTAGATATAAAAGAATAAATTTTAAATCCTCACTTGTCAATTATATTGATGAGCACAGCTCTTGGTTATATACACTTACAGGAGAGGGAAGGGAAAGAAACTTCGAGGTTGGCTTACAGCTTTTGAACCCTATCTATTAAAAACCACACTATCAATTATACCTAAAACCCTACAAAACCCTGCATGTCAAACTGATTTCATGTCTTGCTCCATATTAGTGCTTCTTTCAGCAGACAGGAAGATTCCTGCTTCATTTTATATCAATAAAATGCTTAAATAACACTTTGGGAAGAATATATATAGTGTGTTTAAATTACTTGCAAGTATTAAGGTCAGTTCTAGGTTGAGGAACTGGCAATACAATAGATGCAAATAGTTGAAGAACAAGCAAGGCTATAAACAAAGTCTCATGATCACTCCAGTGATCACTGTTTCTAAGGGCTTATCAGGATGATCAAAATAGCTGGGCCTACTTCCCTGTCCTAGCCCAAAGTCATATTCATGCCTAAAGCCTACTTCTTTGTTCTAGCCTAAGATTTAGATTCCTGACTGAAATTATTTCAGTTTTTATGTAGGTAAAAATTCAAATGAATCATCAACGTGAGTAAGATATATATTCTAATATATATCATATAAATTATATATATAATATATTATATCTACATCTACATCTATCTATTTCTTTCTATATATTCGAAGGGTAAATATACGATCCATACCTATGTATCTATGTAGACACATGTATATGTGTATTTATATCTATATAGATATAAATACACATATATACATATATATGTCCTACATTAAGTACCCTAAATAGCAAAGACCATTGGACTTGACAGTCTAATAGATGCTTTGAGTATTGTAAAAAACAGAGTTATTCTAATTCTTAACATTGCCATTACTTGGCATTTAATTGATAGATGTATTTGAAGCATCTGTATTATTTTGTGACTTAAACCAAATGGACATAGCAAACCCTTAAAGCATATTGAGAGATCCACACAAACAATGAAATGAAATTTTATGGAGATAAACCTTTGAAAAGGCAAATAGATACACATAGATTCATTATCTTCTCCTGTATGTCGATAAATATTTTAAACATTAACTAATTTATAGGTTGTATGTTCTTTATTCTTTAATCCCCTTTCCCACCTTCATTTCCTACTTACTGATCATAACAGACACGGTGTTCACATTGGGGTTGAAAGAGCATCGTCCTTTTCCAGATTCACACTTAGAGTCAATCATGAAAACTTGGTCCTTTGTAGTAGAAAAATGTATCAGATGGTAATACTACATTATACAGATGAAGCAGTACAACGAGTAGAATGAAACATAACTATAATTAATTTATTTTAAGTGATTGTTATTAAATAAAATAAACCATCTTCAAAATGTTTTCTACCTCTTTGTTTCTAATGTGCTATATTAAGACTTAATTGCCACGTATGAAGAAACCATTTGTAAATTATTGTGCTTTAATGTCAGTAGGGCTAACTCTCATCATACTTTACAGCTTCAAGAACTGATCCAAACATTCCTAAAACAACATCACTAAGTCTGTCTTGAAAATGTGGAATCATTATTCAAATAATTGGATGTGTTTGTAGAGCCCTATTCAAAGGAAGAAAAAGAACAACAATGAAATAATCTTAGCAATGATTATAATGTTTCTAAAATAAGACATTTTAAAACTAAAGCTCCCTTTAAGTCTACTTCCCCACCCAAGGCAGATCAGCAGTCAGATACCCTCCCATACCCTGCAGGCTGTACACCACTTAGTAGATCCGCAGTAACCAAAGACACAGGTGAGAATCTTGTCCAAATACCCATGACAGCTTGGAGACTCACAGAGCCCAGCTGACTCAGGACCTACTCACTCTGCTGAGCCCCACCTTCCTTCAGGTCTACATCTCCACCTGGGCCAGATCAGTGGCCTCCATACTCTCCCATCCCTTATAGCCTCTTTGCCTTTCTTAGCAAAACCAGAGAAGACACAAAACAAGCATCAATAGACGCAAGAAGATTGAAATAATCACATGCATCCTATCAGATCACCAAGGACTGAGGCTGGTCTTCAAAAACAACAAAAGCAACAGAAAACCCACAGCCCCATGGGAACTGAACAACTCTACTCAGTGATAACTTGGTCAAGAAGAAATAAAAAAAGAAAATAAAGACTTCCTGGAATTCAGTGAAAAGGAAGACCAATCATACCCAAAATTATGGGACACAATGAAAACAGTGTTAAGAGTAAAATGCATAGCACTATGGGCCTTCATAAAGAAACTGGAGAGATTCCATATAGCAACTTAACAGAATACCTGATAGCTCTAGAACAGAAAGAAGCAAACACACATAAGAGGAGTAGAAGGAAGGAAATAGTCAAACTTAGGGTTGAAATCAACCAGTTAGAAACAAAGAAAATGATACAAGGGATCAACAAAACCAAGAGCTTGTTCTATGAGAAAATCAACAAGATAGATAAACCTGTAGCCAGACTAACCAGAGGGCACAGAGACAGTATCCAAATTAACAAATCAAAACTGAAAAAGAAGTCCTAAGAACAGAAACTGAGGAAATTCAGAATATCATTAGAACATACTTCAAAACTTATACTCTACAAAACTGGAAAACCTAGATGAGATAGATGTTTTTCTGGACAGATACCATGCACCAATGTTAAACCAAGATCAGGTGAACTATCTATACAATCTCCTATCCCCTAAGGAAATAGAAGAAGTCATTAAAATCCTGCCAACCGAAAAAAGCTCAGGACCAGATGATTTTAGTGCGTAATTCTACCAGACCTTCAAAGAAGATCTAATACCAACACACCTCAAACTATTCCATATAATAGAAACAAAAGGAACACTACCTAACTTATTCTATGAAAACCATGCAAAGACCTAACAAAGAATGAGAACTTCAGGCCAATCTCACTTATGAATATCGATGCAAAAATACTCAATTAAGTTCTTAAAAACTGAATCCAGGAACAAATCAAAACAATCATTCACCATGATCAAGTAGGCTTCATACCAGGGATGCAAGGATAGTTCAAAATACAAAAATCCATCAATGCAGTACACTATGCAAACAAACTCAAGAAAAAACACACATGATCTTCTCAGATGCTGAAAAAATCTTAGATGAAATACAACACCCCTTCATGTTAAAAGTCTTGGGAGACATCAAGAATTCATGGTACATACTTACACATCATAAAAGCAATATATAGTAAACCCATAGCCAACATCAAATTAAATGGAGAGAAACTAGAAGCAATTCCAGTAAAATCAGGGACAAGACAAGGCTGCCCACTCTCCCTCATCTACTCAATATAGTACTCAAAAATTCTAACTAGAGCAATTAGACAGCAAAAAGAGATTAAGGGGATACAAATTGGAAAGGAAAAACATCAAAGTATCACTATTTGTAGATGACAGCATAGTATACTTAAGCGACCCCCAAAATTCCACCATAGAACTCCTACAGCTGATAAGAAATTTCAGTAAAGTGGCAACGTGGCAGAATATAAATTAATTCACACAAATTAGTTGTATTCCTTTATACAAATGATAAACAGGATTAGAAAGAAATAAGGGAAACAACACCCTTCACAATAGCCACAAATATTATAAAATATCTTGGTGTTACTCTTTCCAAGCAAGTCAAAAACTGTACAAGAACTTCAAATCCCTGAAAAAAAGAAATCGAAGACCACAGAAGATGGAAAGATTTCCCATGCTCATGAATTGGTAGGATTAACATAGTGAAAATTGCCATCTTACCAAAAGCAACATAGATTCAATGCAATCCCAATCAAAATTCAAACACAATTCTTCACAGACATGGAAAAAGTAATTCTCAACTTCACATGGAAAACCAAAAAACTCCAGATAGCCATAACAATTTTCAACAATAAAAAATGTTCTGTTCTGGGGGAATCACAATCCCTGACCTCAAGATGTACTACAGAGAAATAGCGATAAAAATAATACAGTATTGGAACAGAGACAGACAGGTCACTAAGAACTACAATCAAAATGGGATTTCATGAAACTGAAAAGCTTCTGTAAGGCAAAAGACACCATCAATAGGACAAATTGGAAACACACTAGAATATAAATAAATGAAATAATTAAAAAGACCCTAAAGCTCTATGTTACCACTAAATTTTTGTATAAGACATTTATATGTGTGTGTGTGTGTGTTTGTATGTGTGTATGTAATAAAGATATTTAAATAAAAATATAAAACTATTTAAATAAAAGGAGGCCATAAAATTGAGATGTTGTAGCAGAAGGAAACATAGGAAGAGTATCAGGAAGATGAGAAAGAGGAAAATTGTGTAATTATATTGTAATTTAAAAAAGTCTGGGCACTAGAAGATAATCACTTGACCTTCAGTGACAGCAAAGGTCATGGTGAAAACAATTAAAATGTAAGAGAATTTGCATCATGGTAATCAGAGTTTAGAGGCTAGGAAGAAATTACTTTATTAAATAAGGAGAAGATACATAGCCTGAAGTTTTGTTTACTTAAAGAAAATATTAGTTTGTTTTTTGCTAGATGAAGTCTGATGTAGTGGAAGTTATCCCAAGGCAATAATAACTAAGTGAAGATAAAAATAGAATGCAAATTCAGCCTCCTGATGCCTAACACATCTGCTTTATGAAGGAAATAATTATTGAAATGAAAGAAAGCAGGAAAATTGAATAATATTGCTTCTGGTCCTAGAGCCAGCAGCAGATTTCCCTAGATAAGACAGTGTTGGCAGTGGAGGTACTGATGAAGTAGACCGAGTGTTCTCTCGTGGCCCACTCCTCTGTCACTTGGCATCATCTCCTCTACATGATCATAATTACAGGCTAGTTACAGTCAACACTGGGAAATGTGGTGAAATAGTAATAATCTACTTCAAGAAGAAATAAGACTCTTCGCTTTTTTCTTAAGAATTCAGGACTATTCTTCCCAGGCTCATCTGTAATCCTTCTTTTCTTAGTCTTTGTACATTTGACTTTGTAATATTTGAGTCCATACTTTGCATTTTAATAACTTTTGAATTAGCTTCCCTATGGCATTTCTATACATACATTGTTAATCCTCCTCCACGCCATCCACCTGTCTCTGTGCACCCACTGAGCACTCTCTTCCCCTCCTGCTTTTATATCTCAGATATTCCATCACCCCTCTCACATGAAGATTAAACTCTATGATGTACAAGTGAGATAAAATATGTAGTATTTTTCTCTCTGACTTGAATAATCTTTAAAAGAAAAAAACCAAAACCTGTAGTATGAGATATTTATTAAGGCCGCAGTGAGGTCCAGCTAGCTACTTGAACTGCTGCCATGTTTCCACAGTAGAAGTAGCCAGAGGTGCCAGGAGCACTGGTTCTAGACCCAAGAGATGTCAGCATGGCGGCTTCCTCCACCTTCAGCTTTGTGGTGTCCATACTCCAAAACATGGCCCCTGGTTCAACTCTGCCACCCTCATAATGTACGACTAAGCGCCAGACAATACCCCCCATGCTCTCAGTACTCGGTAGAATGAAGACTCTCAATGGTTAAAGATTATTCAGTGGATTTATGTATCAGCAAATACACAAGATGGCCACACAATTAGAATTGTTATCCAATATCTAACCTTTTCACATGCATAATTACTTGAGACTGCTAGAGAAGCATATGTCCGCCTCCATTTTCTTCTCCCTCCTTCTCCTTTCTCCTTCTCTCTTGTTCTCTCCTCCCCTTCCTCTTTCCTTCCCCCAGCTCCACCTCCTCTTCTACTGCCCAATCACTGAGCTCCACTGCAAATACAATGTGGCAGGAAAATTCCTGCAACAGACTTCAAACTTTATGGGACTAGCTGTTTCAAGATATAGCTGCTGTGATTATCCTGTGACTTGGAACTATGAGCTGACTAAATCCTATCTCTAGTGAGTTGTATTTGGCAGAGTATTTTATCATGGCAACAGAAGAGAAACCAAGGCAGAGTCCTCTACAAATACCCAGAAGTGGAATAGCTAGGCTTTAGTAGTGCTACCTACATCTTTTGAGAAACCCCCATATTGGCCCTAAGCAGCTATGCAAATTTATACTCCCATCAGCATTTTTTTCCTATACACAAATAGCAAACTTGCTGAGAAAGAAATTAGGAAAAATAGCTCATTCACAAAAGCTTACAGCATACCGACAGGATAAGCTTAACCTTGAAGGTGGACACCTCTACAATGAAGACTAGGATACTGAAGAGAGAATTTTACAAAGGCACTAGAAAATGGAAAGAGCTCCTATGTTTACACGAAATTAACGTTGTTTAAATGGATTTATATCTGAAAGTGGTCTGTAAATTAAACAAAGTCAAAATTTCAATGATATGTTTTTCAGAATCAGAAAAAATCAAAAACTAAAATTTATATAGAAGCACGAAGTTCCTGAGTAGCCAAAGCACATGCACAGAATGAATAATTCTCAAGGCAAGCACCTGCTGACATTTAATTGAACATGTAGTAAAAGCTTCAGAAAGAGTGGGTGAGTATCAACATGGTCAGCCATAGGGCCTTGTCATTGTGTGGAAGCAAAGTTCTGTTTAAAATGTTTGACTAGATCTTAGATAACTGGAATATGACACAATCTTAGATAACTGGAATAAAAGTTGTTAGGAGAAGCTATATGTCTGAGAAGCTTTTCTACCATTAGAGGAAGAGAAACTTGAGAAGTTACAGAACCAGAGATAACTTTAACAAAAGGAAACAACTCTGTCTGGAAATGGAAACCAGATTAAATGGAGAGAAAAAGGAGGGGACCATATTACTTTTATTCATCTAACTGCATATGTGTATATATAAATTATATAAAATGAAATAAAAAGGAATCTTTGTCCACCTACATTAACAGTAAAGAACACTGTTACTTACTAAAGAAAAACAACTTCAAAAAGAACATCAACAGTAATATCTAGAGTTTTGTAACCAAAATTCTGATCTTTAAAAGCCAATTAAGACATGACTTAGGAATTGGACTTTCTAAATTTAAGTTAAATAACTAACTAAATATGATTTTAAGTAATTCAGTTTCTAAAATAACCATGTTAAGGGAAATAAAGAATCAAAACTGGGGAAGGCTCCATGGGTTTTCTTCCTGGCTTCTACAGTCAGCAGCAGTACTGGGCAAACAAGCCCAGCCATTGATAGCACAGTTCAAATGCAGGAAGCCTTCTGTTTGACTATACATTAACTGACTGTTTGACTAGTGTTCAGCAAACACCATACCATAATAACTCATATCACTTTAAGCAATAAAAGTGTAAGGTGAGAATGAACAAACATAGGGTAATGTTAATTTTAAATGAAAGCATGTTTTATCAATTTATAAAGTTATTTTTCAACAAAACACGTAATATTCTGTTTCAAACATATCTTATAGTTTATATCCATAAGGGTGTATCGATACTAAAATATAAGTGAAATGAATATGTATTTATAAAAGTAAGTATAAGCATGGTATTTCTTACTTCTGAACTTTACTACTTTATATTTATTACAATACGAAAATACAGTTTTCCTTTATTTTAAAGCTTGCATGTTTAGAAACAAGCAAAAACATTTAACTGAAATCTGAATGAGCACAAGTTAGCTTGCCTTGACAGACATCAAAATAAAATATATTCATGTACTTAAAAATATGAAAATATTTTACTATTACTGATATTCCCAAATCTTTAACTCTAAAATCTCATCATGTTTCTGGCACTAACACCAAAATTGACAAGTAGAGAGTGTCAGGCTTACCTCTGACCTCCTGCCCCTGTTAAGGTAGGTGCATACTGGGCTGAACGCTCCACTCCCACAGACATACAGGTGAGTACGGTTGAAGGTCTGAATAACCCGGACGAAATTCCCACAGCCATGCTGGCAAAAGAAAGGCATTTAGTGAGGCCACATCTTCCTACTATCTACTGCAGCTCTACTAGCCTGAGGTTTGATATGAAAGGTGACCTCTGCTGCTATCTATACCCTGAAGAAACTGTGTACAACTTGCAATGGCAGTCTGAAAACACCCATCTAACTTACAGAATAAGAAATCAGATGTTGAGATTTGGCATCCTAAAAACAAAACTCCAGCTGCTTGTAGATGGCTACAGCCTTATGACAGAAGATTATCTTAACTGAGATTGACCAGACTTAAGCTGGTGATCTCAGAACTCCAGGCATACTCAGTGACTAAAACAGACAAAGCCTCCTATTCTTACAGAGCTCAGGTGGACAAAGTGTAAATCCATACAACCTTTGCTATTTCTAGTTCATTTTTCCTAATTTGAAGACTTTATGTAAAAACGTGCTGAAGTTTTTTTTCCACAACACATTAATGACTCTAACTTAGACAGGTTCATCTGCACATTTTCTACCTTTTCAATGCTATCGTTAGGAGACATAATTTAAAAAAAAAAAACATAAGAGAACAAACTGGTTTATTACATCCATCTGTCTTGTGAGTAAGAAGTATCAATTAAAATAATTTATTCTTTAATGTAATGCTTCATATGCTGTATGTGATTATGTCACATGTATGCGTGGATGGGTGGTTGTGCATAAGCACAACTATGTATGTGTGTGGAGACTCAATATTGACGTCAGGAGTCTTTCTCAACTACTTTTCAACATATTCACAGAGGCAGAGCATCTGAGTTGAATCCAAAATTCACTGATACGTATAAACTTTCAGGAGTCTGTAAGTCCTCCTTGGCCAAATCAACCACTTCAAACTCCACAGTTGATAAGCTCATTACTTTTGCTGATAATAAATTAATCAAGCCTCAGACAGAATGGTGTTCCCTTTACAAAGTCATTTTTCTCACCAATAATTTTATTGAAAATAATTTTATCATCTCAGGTGAGTCTTTATTATTTAATAAAGGCTGTAAATATATCAAATTTAATGGTATTTTCCTCCTGAATAGTCTATAGTAGTGCATCTTCTTCATCATTTCTGGTTCCATTGAATATCTAGTATTTATGTTACTATACAGCACAACAAAGCAAAGTTCTACAATAAAAGCTAAATTTGATTAAAAACTTATATATTCCATTGATTTTATATTTATTTTTACTTGTAAGCAAGTATAGATTTCCTTTTGTGCATGGGAATTTTAAGCAGATGTTTCTACTATGAATTACTAATAAATCTTTAATTCTAATATCAAAGAAATTAATCCTTAAAATCCAGACTATACACTTTATTTTAAAGTTAAGACAGGAATAGTCTGCATTAAATATACGGTGTTATTTCTTGACACCTGTTTTGAGAGGTACCTGGAGGTTAATTATATAACCAGAGAGTATAACATGAATAAACTGCAAAGTTGAAGAGTGGTGTGTGTGGAGATCTGTGGCAAGATTTGTGAGCGAAGAAATGTGTGTTTATCTTTTCCACACTCAGTGTTCAGTCACATTGGAATTCTCTATTGATTAACTTCCAATAAGACACAGTTCAGTGAAAACTCAGAAAAGGAAGTTTCCATCTGCTTTATCTTGGGCTCTGTAGACTTGGATAATTTGCTGCTATAGTAAAAGGAAAAAGTCAGCAATATATTTTCATTCTTAGAACTATGCTTATTTCACTCTAAGCATATGCCTACTCATTGTTGATAATATCTTCTTTCCTATGTGATAGACGGCATGGAAGTAATTATTTTCTATATTTTACTATTATTATTTCCCAGGACACTCAATGTTTCACTTTATAATAGATATGTATTGAATATTCAGTATATTTTTCTTAATGAGTTTACATGAATCATTATTTTTTTTCTTTTTGTATCTCAGTTCCCTTTAGAAAAATAAAACAGAGGCTTTGGTTTCCTTCATTCATAATGGTAGCTACAGCAAGGAAGGTTTCAAACACACACATAATAATTAATACATACCTTTTCCCATTTTATCATGTATCATAGATTAAGAATACACCTTTATATTTCAGAGTTATTAATATTTATGCAATCTTAGCACTTTTATATTATTAACATTTTCAGGCCCCTATATCCATATACTTTGCTTGCATTTAGTTTCACAGCAATGTTTCAATTAAGTAGCTGAATTTCAATTTCCTAATAAGGAAGTTTATCTCCAAAAGAGATTAAATAGTCTTCACCTTGGACTGGGATGGTGGCCAATACTATTGTCCATATTTTCTCTAGCAATTTCACTATTAGCAGACAAATTTCTACCCTGTGATACTCAATGCACCTCCTACCTCCTCCTCTATAGAATACTCACGTGATGCTGAACAGCTGAGGTAATCTTGATAAATCTGCTCTACCCTTGCACAGCAACATTTTCTGGCCTTATCAATTCTGACGTAAACCGTTGTGTAAATCACTTTCAGTAAATATTTATTAAGACACTGTAACTTGGGTTAGGAACACTTGAATGCCTAGTATACTTTCTGCCTTCACACAAAGAGGAACATATATATCAAACCTGTGGTAAGAACCATGAAGTCATCTTAGGGTACTATACTAATACATTTATGCACACATACATTCATATATGAACTCAGTATAAAGCTTTAGAAGAAATATAATTTCATCTTGGTCTTGCATAATAATCTTGACAGTCAAGATATATAATGAGAGAATTTTCCAAGTGAAAACGATACAAGCAACCAACAGTCATGAGTCTGAGGAGATAGCTTGGTGGCTTGTCCAGAAGATTATGAGTTTGGTTTCCAGCACTGACATTAAACGGCTCACAACCAGGTGTGACTCCAGCTTCAATGGATTGGAAATCAACTTTTAGCTTCTGCAAGTAGGCCCTCACATGCACATAGACACACACTGACACGTAATTCAAAGTAAATAAAAGGATAAAAAGAAAAACAAGTGGGATTGCACTGGTAGGATTTTCTTTACTTTGGAGTTAATGTCCTAGGATTACATTGAATACAGAACCCCATGTCATGAAAGAGGGAGGCCATTGGAGTCTGTCTGTCATTGTGTGTTTGTCTTCACATACACAGGAGAGATTCTGATAGAATTAAATGATAAGCAAATATGTAGATCTCAAAATAGGACCTGGATTCAAATCTTGCCTTCAACTTTTGTAGATGTTAAGACAGTTATATAGGTTTTCTGCAGTTCAAATTTTGTAGCAGTAAAATGACAGTAATAATGTTTGTTTTGAGCAATATATTAATAAAGTAGTGAGAACATTTTGATTTGGGCAGGCCATGTGTCCTTCACAGATTACTAATAGTTCTGTTCATAATACTAATATCGAAAAAAATTGGTATTGAAGAACTCAGTAGAAATAAATACCAAAGATGACTTTTTAATTTTTTCTATTTTTGAGATTAATATAATTACATCATTTCCTCCCTCTTTTTCCTATCTCCAATACATCCTATATACCTCTGCCTCCATTCTCTTTGAAAAATCACTGACTTTTTTTCTTTATTTGTTGTTACCTCTGTGTGTGTGTGTGTGTGTGTGTGTGTGTGTGTGTGTGTATACACATCCATGTGTGTGTGTGTTTGTTACAGGTTTTCAGGGCTGTCTATTTGGCATTTGATAATCACTTGGTGTGTTTTTTGACAAGAGTTTTTGCTTCAAAAGCATTCGCTTAACCACATGAGTTGTTGGACAGTGAGGTCAGAGATTTCCATATTATGGGCTATTCATATATATGAAGATTTCAGTCTATCATGATATGCAAGCATGGCAAAATGGCTCAGTGGAGGTGGAAGCTTGTAGTAGCAAGTGTTCACATAGCAAGAACCAAGAAGCCGACTTAGAAATCCAGAAGCAAAGATGGGTACAATTCCAAGGCTAGTATCTATTGTACCAGGTGGACCCACCTCTGAAATGTACTGTAACCTTCAAAATAGTGCCACCAAATGAAAACTGAGCCATCAAAACATAACCCTGTAAGGGACATTTTAGACTTAGACTATAAAACTAGGTACCTGTTTACTCTGATTCTTGGTGTCACTTCCAGGCTTGACTGATGAGAATTCCATTATCCATGCTGAGCTAATTCAAGTACTGTGTCCATGTGTGTGTGCTTGCTCACCTGTGTGTGTGTATGTGTGTGTGTGTGTGTGTGTGTGTGTGGTGTGTGTGTTGGTGGGTCTGCGCACATGCACGCACACACAAACACATGTGCATGGGCACAAAATCAATAAGGGTGAACTGAGAAAGAGTTGAAGGAGGAGAATAAATACAACCAAAACATGTGTGAAACTCCTAAAGAGCTAATAAAAATAGTCAATTTCTGTGCTCTGAAAATTAAATAGCATGTAATTAGATGGCAAGTACTTGAACAGTGTGAATATATATGAAAACATTTGGTGTTATTGAGAAATAAAATACCATATATTTTCTATAGAACATTCATTTTATTTATTGTTAGTTGTTTTGTTCTCTCTAGCCTTTTCTCTTGAAGTCAAACTAGCAAGAGGTCTCTATTGGCTGCATTCATAGGATATGAGATATATTTGTTGGATTCTGTCTTCTCCTACACAGGTAGAGTATGTAGTCAGAAGAATTTTGTACATTATTGTTTCCCAGGATTCAATACTTATATCTGCAAAAGCAAAACCTGTTCAGTTTAGTCATCAAAATTCATAGCGTGGATGTCTCCACGGATGACTTCCCAAGTATATAGATCACTACTGGCCACACAAACAAATTAACAATAACCATGCTGGATATTACAGCACAATAAAATTATGGGGAAATACAGGCATGTATTGAAAATTTTATGAAATAACTTTAAACCATCACAAAACATATAACAATAGGTTTCTATTTCATCAAAGGGAGAAAGTGGCCAAGTGACTTGGCTAAGATACTTTAGAAAAACATCAAAATCATTATTTGGAAACTGAGCATGCACCAATATCTACAGTCTCTATACTTCTCCTGTAGCAATTGCTATGAATTAGAAATGTAAACTTTTTGAACAAAGCACCAGAAAAATCAGTAACATTGCCATGGGATATTACGGTGAAAGGCAAGACATGATCAGACGTGCCCCAGTGAGAGAATGTTTTCATCAGAGAGTGAAGGAAAACTGTTCAGCTCATGGACAATTACTGAAAGAACACCCCCCAGGAGATCACTTTTCTTCACAGCACTGCCCTGCATTCTATTGCTTCCCTCGATGGTCAACAAACACACAAATTTTTTTGGGGGGGTGGATTTTTCACCCACTAGGTTTCTATTACATTGTAACTATGCTTTGTTATGTTTCTTCTACCTCTTTTCTGTTCTGTTAACTGGAGGAAATATAAAATTGAAAATGTAAGCATTAGCCCTGGGTCACGCCTGGAAATGGTTTGCAAGAACTCTTGTGGAATACTACTGAGAGATCTTTCACTTTAGATCCGTGATTCCCAACCTTCCTAATGCTACCACTCTTTAAAACAGTTCCTCATGTTATGGTGATCCCCCATTTTAAAATTATCTTTATTGCTACTTCATAACTGTGATTGTGCTCCTATTATGAACCATAACGTAAATATCTGTGTCTTTCAATGGCCTTAGGTGATTCCTGTGTAGTTTGACTCCCTGCCTAAGAGGTCAGGACCCACAGATTGAGATCCATTGCTCTAGTCTTTGGTTGCCTTGAAGATTTTTAGTCTTTACAAAAGTTTTTATCTGTGACTGTCTTAAGACACACCGAAACATTTCATTTCATTATTGATTAGTCTTCCTGGTGACTGGCCTGTCCCAATACATTTTTGGAGCACTTACTTTCAAGGTTCCATACAGATCTCAATCCTTTTAGCACCTCTCATCTCTACTGCACTGTGCTCAGTCAAATTTTTCTAGACTAAAAGTTGATGCTAATACTGAATATGGTCTCAAACCTGGATGCATACATTGTAGTATATTAGATTTTCTACACAATAATTTTATTTCTATTGCATTCCTTAATTTGGATCTATTCTCTTGCTCATTTAAAACAGGTTGAATTTTTTAAACTAGATATAGTGAGATAAAGCAAAACTAAGTCTGTGTTTATACAAATTATGTTTTTCATATCTGGAATTATGCTAGATATACAATTGATGCTTAATGTTTTTATCAAATGAGTAATTTAGAGTAAGAGTAAGGCAAAATAAAAAGAGGAAACTTTTACCAAACTATCTGTGAGAGGGCATGAATATTATTGATACTAATTTCATCATGGTATTTTTCATGATTTGAAGCAAAAATGCATATATATATGTATATAATATGTGATGTGTGTGTGTGTATGTGAGATTGTGTTCATCAAAGGTTAGCTCCATGAATTTCTTATGTAATATTCAAGAATAATTTAGTGTCAATGATAGTGAGTCATTCACAGAAATTAATGCAGGTTCCTTACTTGACTCTTTCTCCTGAAGTCCTAACACTTAGGGGAATCCAATTTGCATAAGTGTTGTACTGCACATTTGTCAATATATATATATATATATATATATATATATATATATATATATATACACACACATATATGTGTATGTGTATATATATATGTATCTGCTTTGATTGTGGTTTGTAATTGTTTTAATTAACAAATGTACTATTCATCATTGTTGACTTATTTATCTGGAATGTACAGGCTCATGACTATTTTTTCACCAAGAATCTTAAGAACAGTTCCCATGGTATCTGGGAGTTCCTCCAGACACTTTCGGCATCATTATTTCAGCAGCCTGCTGAGAATTCTGTTGGTTGGAGCCACTTGGTACAAGATTTATTGGTGAAATCAATCATGAAAAGTGTCTGCATTAAATAATGAAGCATGGCAGGAAAGTTTAAGCAGTCAGGCATTCTAAAGTTACAGATGGTAGGAGAATTCCAGTCCGCCACATTTATGCTTTCAACATTAGTCCTGCCAAGGTTCCCCAACACCACTAATCTCAGATTCAGCTGGTTTAAAACAATGTACTAAGTAGTTGAAGACTAAGTAGTTAGTCTGTGTGAGAGAGAGTGCATGTGTGTTTGTGTGTATGTGTGAGTGTGCATGTGTACATGTGCATGTGTGGTGTATAGCATGAATGTGTGTGTAGGTGGTAATAATTTTATTTATATGATGTATGCAAAGAAGGGTTCTGTGTGTATATGTATTGTGTGTGTGTGTGTGCTTCAACTACTTACAGTAGGATCTTTGCCAGCCATTTTGCACTCTTCAACTTTGATTGCTGATGCTGGCCAGAAAACCTGCTCAGAAAGAAAAATACAGTTTGTATAATCCCATATAAGTACATACTAACATAGTATTCTTAGTTTGCTTTTGACTATCTGATTTCTTTAAGGTGTTACTACTTTTGTCTTTTGAGTTCCTCCTATATCTTCTAAATTCAAATTATTGGGCTATCATGCTATTATACCATTTATCATTTGCTTACCCAATCCGTTTTTCTTTAACAAAATCTTTTCAGTAACACAAGAAAATTTATAATTGTGTATTTAAATAAAGTCATTAGAAAAATAAATGTGCAAAATACAATGCCTACTTGCCTTTGGATTTACAGTTCTACCAACTGCTTATATCATTATGGATTACGTTTAAGTGACTAACTTAATTTAATGCCACCTTTGGTAAAGCACACAGTCAGAATGACAGATTTACTTAAAGTAGACCTCCATGTACCTTAACAATGTAACACATGAAATCAAACCACGGAGTCTCACCAAAGCACTGGGCTATCATTCCAAATCACTGCTGTCTTGGGCCATGTGTGGCAGAGAAAACATTTTTTGAGTTGTAAGCCTTTCATATCATAAATGTGAAGCATCCTGTCTCTAATAAACATAGTTTTACTGCTTTAATAGAGTTTACACAGCTTTGATGTTACTCCACTGATGCTTAATTATGCTTTCTTACTATAAAAATAAAATGATAAATGTAGGTTATGATTATTCAAATATCCATGCAGCTGATAGCATTATTCCTCACACTCTGTGGATTACACACAGATGATATGGTACTTCTTCCTTTACTCTAACCAGGCTTTTCATGGGAAACTGCCCTCAACCCACTCCTTTTTCTTCTAAACACACAAATATATAAGACATATTTTTTCATTCATTTGCAGTTTAAATTAATTTTTTAAACTTTTTAAGCCATATGGAAGGAATTAAACTAAATGTATGTTTCAGTTATGAAGTAAATAGTAACTTAGGTGTGTGTGTCCATGTGTATAGTAGTTTCTGGCTTTCTAATCCATTAGATATTATATTGCATTATTTTAAATAACTATAATGACAAGTTCCTTCAAGAAAATGATAAACTTACACTCAAGGGTTCTTGACTGATATTGTTGATATTCAAGGACAGAATGTGGTCTTTGCTCCCCACATATATCCGGTCTTGATCTTCATCCATCAGTAATATCCTGTAGTCTAACTGCTGGTGGGACAAACTAAAGTATTCAGAGGTTTTGGTTTCTCGAAGCTCTGAAATAGAGAACAAGGAATGTTGAACAGTGTGCATTGGCTTTATAATTTTATGATATTACTGAAAATTCTTAGAGAAACTTGGACCAAAAATGCAAAAATAAACATAAACTTAACTTCTATGATACTAACGTTTCCATTTATAACTTTTGGATAACCAACAGCTGTCAAACTAGACTTAAAGCCCACTAAGGACATGGGAATTCCTACCTGGGACTATAAACTTTGTCACCTCCATGTAGCTGGAGAAGCCACGCATTAAATAGGGGAGCCATTTCCCTAAACTAGAATAATTTCTAACTGCATTGGAAATACTTTGTGTAGTTTTCACTCCATTTCAAATAAGCTTTTGCTAGAGATAGAGACTTCTACAGAGAGTCACAACTGGTCAAAACGCGGAGAATAAGGGTCCAGGTGGTGTCTAACACCACTTAATACATCACCAGTGCAACTTCTCCACCTGAAGCATAGATAACTTTATGAAACAGGAGGAAGCAACATTGTAAGACCATAGGATCAGGATGCCTGTTGCTAGACAGTGCCCTCTAGACAAGGAAAATGTACCCATAGACTCTCAATAATATAGGTGCATGAACAGGATTGAGTAAAGGCAGCACAGATTGATATTTCAACATGAACTGAGGAAACTCGACAATGTCCTCCCACTAGATGAACAGCTACAGGTGGTCAATGACAGCCAAGAAAGGAAAACTCAGTGTCTTCTAGCAACAAGCACCTACGTAAGTTGTCCAATATAAAGTTGTCATCCCTGGACATATTTATACAGGCAACATTAAATTGTGTATGCATATCTGTGTGCATATATATATATATATATATATATATATATATATATATAATTAAAGAAGATAAAAACATGAATTTTTAAGTGGAGGACATGCAAAAATTGGGAGAGTGAGGAGGGAGGAAAACAAGTGACACAGATGAAATATTCATATACAAAGTTCTTTATAATTCATTTAGAAGTCAATTTAAAAGTAATGTTTGTTAACATAGATTTTTAATTCTTGACTTTCAGCTAGAAGAAATCAGCAAGTTAAAGTTCATGGTGACTCGGTAAGATTCAAAAATTATTCTCATTTAAAAGAATCTAAAATTTATTAGCGAATATCATCAGCCAGTTAAAATACAGTTAAACATCTACAGTGAGTAAGAAGAGTATTCAATGACATGAAGAAAGTGCTGCTTCTTGTTTATGCTTTATTCTCAAGTTCTATACATTCTTCATTTTAGTATTAGCTCAAATAACTGAATAACTGACACCATTTGAATGACAATTTGTCTATGAATATATCGAAAGAAAAGGATAGATTTAGATATTTGCATCCTCAGATTTAAAACTTCCCAATGATCAGTGACTCGGGTCAATCTGCTCCTTTTACCTTGACTGTCTGTCTGTGAGCTGAACATTGAAAGCCAGGAAGGCCTGAACAATAAGGAAATCAACATTCATTCATGACATGGGTGGCTTTCTCTGCAGACAAGAGGCTCAGATGCTAAACCTAAGACTTCTTTTCAGTCCTTCCTAAATCCCTTTGCTCTTGTGCTGATGATGTTTAAGATAAACAGCGGCAAGCTTTGAAAGTAGGTGCTTTCTAAGGTTTCTGATTTCATGACATTGATTTTACATTTTTAGACATAGACCATGAGTCATTTTTCTAGAACAATTGTTAATGGGCACAGTTTGGCTTACAGAAAAATAAAACAGGATAAAGATTGGTATAGGAAGTAAAGGATCCTCTCTATGAGCATCAGACACATCTCATGGGAAGGCCAAGCAGACTCAGGTTTAGCCAGGATTGTTCGACTCATCACTTCCCAATGGCATGGTGATAGTTCACGCAGTGTTAGCCATTAATGTAGAATGATAAGAAAATAGGATATATCTGTGTTTAAAAATAAACAAACTGACCTATCTGTGTCTCCATTTCTTTCTCAGTAAATAAGAGGTTAGTTTTTATGGTGCATGTGTGTGTGTGCGTGTGTGTATAAGATTATTTATTTCTCTTACACTCCCATATGGCAGTCTACCATTAAGAGAAGCCAAAGCAGGAAAAGTAAGACAAGAACTGAGGCCTAGACAACGAAGGAGCACTGTTCCCTAATGGACTCTCCATGACTTGCTTATGCGATTGCTCAGCTACCTCTCTTTTTAATTTTTAAACCATTTTGTGGTTTAATTATATACAATTAATTACTTCATCCCTTCTTCTCTCTGTCCCTTCATATGTCCCCTTCTAACTTCTCTAAGTCATGTCTATATAATCTATATAATAGCCTCTATGTTTTAACTATTATTGTTATGTTGTATTTATGAGTATACATAAATATATGTGTATATATGTATGTATATATATATGTATGTATATGTGTATATATGTACATATATATGTACTTATGTGTACGTATGTACTTATGTGTATACATACACATATTGCAACAATAACTTCCAGTGACTGTTCCCATGGAAAAAAATGAATTAACATATGGAGAGATTTAAAGTGAGCAAACATGTTAAAGTTCCAGTTATTGTGAGATTAGTAATATTAACTTTGGATTAATAGTTACAGGGAAAACTTGGACTAGCACAGTTGCTGGGCTAATTCACATCATAAACCTCTGTGTGGTTTTAGAAACCTTGACTAGGCTGTTCTGCTAACAGTTCTATCTTTTGTATTTACAGCCCCTGTCACTTTTTCACCTGCCTAATACAGTTTATATATGACAGTGTAGCTAGTTTCTCAAATACCTCCCTTTTCTCCTTCCTTCCTCCACTTTCCCTCACTTCTTAGGTTCTTTCAGCATTTTGTTCCCAATCTGCATTAAAATAAAACCAAGCATGGTATCCTAGCTGGGAAATAAATATTGAGTGTAATTTGCAGCTCTTCTCTACCTATTTCATCAGAAAACAAAGTTGATGCCAGAGGGGTCAGTAACTACATCAACTTGAAGACCTTTCTGGTCTGAGAGTTTTATCTGTTGTTTCTGGCCATAAAGCATCTTCAGATTTAATTATCTGTAGCTCATTGGCAGTTGACAGCTGTTATCTTGGAAGATTTACTTCACAACTGTCACTTCTGTGATCGAAGCCCAGGGTATTTTGTTAATACGCTACTTAAATTACTGGGAGTAGTGATAACAGAGCTTTGAAACTATGGGCAAGAAAAAGGAGAGAGTTCAAAGCAATGAGAATTTCATTCATAAAAAGAACAACCCAAGAAGCTATCTTTTCCTTCTATGGGGATTCAACATGAGAATCCATAGCTCAGTGGCTTTGTCTCACAAGAAAAGACTGATCTAATTATTGGACTACATGGAAGGGAAGACATTGCCCTTTTAAAAATGAGCTCTCTCTAAACAAGGCCACAAATGAAGGTGACCTGAACTTCTTTTAAATAACATTCTTTTGCACAGCCTCATGGCCATGGCATTGTTTTTCAGACCATGCTGACATGACTGAGAAGGAGCTTGGCTGAGGACACAGTTTGTAGTGCTAGAAAAGTTAGAAAACTCAGTGGCCCCACAAAGGGCAGCATAGGTCTCCAAGTTCCTGAGAAAATCTCCTGGGAAAGAGCATTAAAAAATACATATTTCTGCCCTGGTAGCCACATTATAGTAGATGTCCGTGATGGAAAGTTACTGTAATGTAGTATTCGCCAAAATTCTTTCAGGGAAATTTTCCAGAACAATAGGCTTACCTAACATTTGCATTCTCAGATCTGCATAATAGAAATCATTGTGAGACTTGAGAATGTAACTAAAACTGGGAGGACAACAGGGTTCCTAGCAAAATAAGCTCCCCAGTCTGCAGTAGTTAAAATATCATTCCAGCAAGGAGAATAAGGGTCAGTATGTAACGTATTATGTCTGTCAGTAAAGCAATATTCCTAACCACATGAGAAGTAATTTAGACCCGCAATAGTAATACTTTAGTGTTGAGAGACTGTGCAACTATATTGTGAAGAGTGTTCTTCATTAAAACTTGATTCATATGTTCAGATATGAGATCTTGGTAGAATGCATGGGGATCCTTTTATGAATGATAAACATTACTCTTGCTCTCTAGTAAGGGAAATAATTTACTAAGAATACTACACTGTCTTCTGTCTTTTATAAAAAGTCATGATTAGATAAAGAATTATTGCAGTAAAAATCAATTCCCAGGACTCTCTCAGTTAGAGGCAGATATAATGGTTACTCATTAATTATATTTAAAGCTCAGGTTACATTATCAGTTTATTTATTCAGCACATATTTATGGCCTGTTTAGCACTGTAGGCTAAATGCTTTACTCAAATACATGATTCAGGTAAGAAGATAAGCTCTCGTAACAATTTAACCCTGCCGCCCTTTGTTCTATGACTTTTATGGAGCTAGCTTGCAGAAAGTCTTAGGAGAAACTTCTACCCAGCCTCAGGCATAAAAACACACAACAATTTTCAAAGCTTTTGGTGCTTTTCATTGCAGCGATAGTGATTCTGACAGGATAGTTTCCTCTTCTCGATGTCCTGTCTTAGAAAGATTTTTAAGTAGAGGTTTCTTGAGGCTCACTGTTTTGAAACTGGGTTAGAGACTGAATTTTACCTGTCCCTCCAGGAAAAAACAGTAGATAAGGAGTTGAAAGGACAACTCAGTAAAATTATAGTTCTTAATTCCTAATGTAAACAGAGAGCAGCAGGCAGGTTGTTAAAATCACATTTGCTCAAAATTAACAGCCCCAAATAGCAGCCATATGTGGGCTCATCAGTAGGGCAAGGAATGTAACTTTACACACACACCTCATTCAATTTGTATTCAAAGCTTCTGTATCCAGCCCAGGGACCTCCCTCAAGCCCTGAAAATTCAGTGAATTTCTCTGGTCATAGTAAACCAGCTCACAAGACTGGAATATTTGCAAAGCGAAGATAGTCCTTAATCTGTGAACAGAACCAAGATAGCCCATCCCCCATTTTTCTAAACATAAAGACAGTTGGAGTTCT